TCCTTAATCTGTTCCAGCATTTGTAATTTCTGATAGATATGAAGTGGTACCTCAGAGTTGTTTTAATTTGCATTTCTCTATAGTGACTTAGAACATTTTTTCATAATTCTATAGATGACCTTGATTTTTTCTACTGAAGCTGACTGTTCATATCCTTTGATCATTTATCAATTGGGAAATGTATTTATTTTATAAATTTGGCTTAGTTTGCTCTGTTTTTGAGAAATGAGGCCTTTATCAGAGACACTTGCTGTAAATTTTTTTTTATATTACTTCATTATCTATGGTACCTTTTATTAAAATGTAGTTTCTCTAATTGTCTCTTTTAATTAGGTCTGTTTTTGCTTTTCCTTTGTCTGAGATCATGATTGCTTTTTTGTTGTTCAGCTATTTCTGTCATGTCCAACTCTTTGTGACCACATTGGGGCTATTCTTGCAAAGATACTGGAGTGGTTTGTCGTTTCCTTCTCCAGCTCATTTTACAGATGAAGAACTGAAGTAAACAGGATTAAGTGACTTGCCCAGGGTCACATAGCTAGTGTCTGAGGCCAGATTTGAACTCTATCCACTGCACCACCTAGCTGCCCCTATTGATTTCCACTCTGCCATTTTTACTTGAGCTGAAGTATAAAAGATTCTGCTCCAGCCTTTTTTATTAAGCTCCTAATTATCTTTTCATAATTTTCTTGCATCACTTTCATTTCTTTTCCCAATTTTTCCTCTATCACTCTTATCTCTTTAACTCCTCTGGGAATTCCATTTCAGCTTAGATACAATTAGCATTTTTCTTTAAGGCTTTGCTTCTGGGTATTTTCATGTTATTGTCTTCTGAGTTTTTGTCTCAGACTTCTTTGCCTTTATAGTAGCTTTTTACAGTCATTATTTTTTGTTGCTTGCCTATTTGGTAACTTTGAACTTTATGTTAAAGTTGGACTCTGTTCATCTCAGGGTGGAGAAGCTCTGTCCCAGGCATCAGGCTTTTTTGTGCTGCTATTTTCAGAGCTAGTTCTGGGCATCTATAAGTTTTCAGTGCTTTCAAAGATGTATAATCTAGGGAGAGGTGTGGTCACTACTGTCCTGGTCTGTGCTCTGGTCATTACCCAGGAAGGGCCCCTGATCCACTGCAGCCACAAGCACTAGTATTCCTTTTGGCCCTGGAACCGTGAGCAAGGCCACTGCTCTCTTGAGATCAACTACAAATGCTCCCCTGTGCCCTGAAACTGTGATTAGAACTATAACTGGTTTTGGGGATTTCTTTTGTTTGTATTTTATTGGGGGTTTTAATTAGTTGGTTTTCTTGGTATATTAATTACATTGCCCAACTTGTTGATCTGCTGTTTCTCCCTTCTTCTGATGGAAGAATATAGATCGACATTCCCTCTCCCCCACCGAATACTATTTCAGATGCAGCTTGCAACTTTTGATACGTTGTCTTATTGTTGTCATTATCTTTAATGAAATACCAATTGTTTCTGTAATTTGTTCTTTGATCCACCCATTCTTTAGGATTAAGTTATTTGGTTTTCAGTTATTTTTTAATCTTTGCTTCAAAGGTCCTTTATTGAACATAATTTATTGCATTATGGTATGCAAATGCTTTATTTAATTTTTTTTACATTTGTTTGTGAAATTTTTATTCCTTAATACATGGTCAATTTTGTAAAAGTGCTATATCTAGTTGAGTAATCATTCTGTTCCTATTCAATATTCTCCAGGTGTCTATTATGTCTAATTTTTCTCAAATTCTACTCAGGTTCATAATCTCATGTTTATTTTTTGACTAACTCAGTCTAGATTGTCAGGGAGTAAATTGAGTTCCTCCATTGTTATAGTTTTACTGTGTACTTTTTTTAGATAACTCATTTAATTTTTCTTTTAAGAATTTTGATGCCATTTGATATATATGTATAGTATTCAAATTAATTCATTGTTTATGGTACTTTTTTTTCTTTTTAGTAAAAATGTAGTTTTCCAGTTTACCTATTAAGTCAATTTTTAAAATTTTGCTTTGTCTGAGACCATGCTTGCTATCCCCACCCCTCTGCCTTTTTGCTTCAGCTGAGCCATAATAGATTTTGCTGCAGCTCTTTATTTAAACTTTATTTGTTTCTTTCTGTTTCAAGAGTATTTCTTGTAAAGAACATATTGATGGATTCTGGTTTGTAATACATTCTTTTATCTTCTGTTTTATGAGTAAATCATTCACATTCACATTCACAGTTATAATTATTAACTGTGTATTTCCCTGTGTTTTCTTATTATCTTCTTTCTCTCCCCTCCCCTTTTGGAGTACGTTTTGCTTCTGATTAATGCCTCCCTTAATCTATTCTCCTTATTCTCTCACTTTCTCTTAATCCATTTCCTGTAAATTTCTCTGTCAGGTAAGGTGTATTCTCCACCCAACTATGTGTGTATTCTTATTCTTTTTTCCTGTTATTAGGTCAGATGAAAGTGGTGTTCAAGTATCCCCTGCTGCCCCCACTGCACCCTCTTTTTTTTTTGTAAAAATTCTCTTTTCACATTCCATTTATGTGAGATAATTTCCCTCATTTTTTCTCTCATTTTCATACACTTCCAGGGTACTCCTCTTCTCTGCCCTTTACATTCTTCTTTTGAGATAATCAATACTTAACAGTTATTCCCAGGTCTTCTGTCTAATTGAGCTCCCTCTGTGATCTCCAAAAATAATAGCATTCTGAGGGCTACATATATCATCTCTCTATATGAGAATTTAAACAGATTTACTTTGTTTAGAACTTTATAATTGGTCACTTATTTTTCCTTTTATGTTTGTCTTGACTTTTCTGTTTTTATGTCAAATTTTCTACTGATCACTGGTCTTCTCATCATGAATGATTAGATGGCCTCTAATTAAAGATCTTCATTTTTTTCCCTTACAGGATTTTACTCAGTTTTTTCTGGATAGGTTATTTTTTGTTGGAAGCCTGGATCCCATGTCTTCTGAAATATCACATTCCAAGTTCTGCAGTCATTTAGAGTGGTGGCTGCTAAATCTTCATTGATCCTGTCTGCTGCTTCTTGCTACTTGAATTCTTTCTTTCTGGATACTTGCAGTATTTTTGTGTTGACCTGGGATCTCTGGATTTGGGCTATAACATTCCTGGGACTTTTCATCTTGAGGTCTCTTTCTGGAAGTGATTGGTGGATTCTTTCAATTTCTACTTTGCCCCCTTTATTCTAAGATATCTGGTCAGTTTTCTTTTGTGATTTCTTCAAATGTGATATGTAGACTCTTTTGTTAATGATTTTCAGGTAGTCCATGATTATTAAATTATTATGTCTTGTTTTGTTCACTAGTTCAATTGCTTTTTCCTAGTAATTATTTCATATTTTTCTCTTTTTTAGGCCTTTGACTTTGTTTTATTATTTCTTAATGTCTCATGGAGTTATTAGCTTACATTTGGATAATTCTAATTTTCATGAAGTTATTCCCTTGGGTAAAGTTTTGTACCTCTTTTTCCAAGCTATTAATTCTCTTTTCATACATTTCTTCCATATGTCTCACTTTTTTCTCATTTTTCACTCTTCTACTCTCATTTGGTTTTCAAAAAAAATATTTTTAGCTTTAATTAACTCTTGCTTTAACTCTTCTAGGAATTCTTGTCAGACATATTTCAGCTGCATTTTTCTTTGAGGGTTTACTTGTAGATATTTTAGAGTCACCACTCTATGTTTGTGTCTTGAGCTTCCCTGTCATCTTAATAGCTCTTTATGGTGGGATTCCCTTTGTGTTTGTTCAATGTACCAGCTTACTTCTTGAATTTGATCTTTGTTAATGCATATACATATGCTCTGTACATTTCTGGGAGATATGCCTAACTTGACGTTCTGTCCTCAGATGCTTTTCTGCCACTTTTATAGCTCAGGCTAAAAGCTGGCAAACTTTCAGTGCTCCCCAAAGTGTGATCCTGGGTAAGCTACTTCACTGCCCTCTTGGTTTGAGCCATGCAAGTTCTTGACCCAGGTCTGTCAGTTTATTCCTGGTTTAAAGTTCCAGTAGGCTACTCTTAAAATCAGCCACTATTAGCCCACTGGGAAGTTCTCTATGTTCAAAGCAACTGAGCTATCAGGTTCCCCTTTATTCTATGACTTTCATCCTGATTATTCCACTGCAGGCTTACACACTGGACTCAAGGCTAGAACTGAGTCCCAGCTCTGCTCCTGGGATCAGAGTCATAAAGCAACCATATGTTTCTGGAACTTGTTTTGTGTACAGTATGCTCCACTCTCACCCCAGTGTGACATACCTTTCCTGCCAAACTTTTAACTTGTCTTTGGCTGGAAAATTGTTTCACCCCATTCTTTTGTAGGTTCTACCACTCCAGGATTTGTTCCAGGTCATTATTTAAAGGTCTTTGGAGGGGTTTGGGGGAGAGCTCAGGTGAGGCCTTCTCTCCACCATCTTAGATCCACCCCTGCTTCAAATGTTTTTGGTGCTGTTTTAGGGTGAGTTTCATAATCCTAACATCTACCAGATAGCTTCCTTTTGTCTTTCCTTAAGAAGTCAATCAGTCAGGGGCAGCTAGGTGGCACAGTGGATAAACCTCCAGCCTTGGAGTCAGGAGGACTTGAGTTCAAATCTGGCCTCAGACACTTGACACTAGCTGTGTGATCTTGAGCAAGTCACTTAACCCTGATTGCCTCACCAAAAAGCAAAAAACAAAAAAAGTCAATCAGTCTCAAGTAGAGTTTTTCATTATCAATGACTCAATTTTTAGGATAAATATGCATATTTGTCAAAGGATATTCTAATCAAAAAAAGATCCCATTAGTACAACCCCCTTATCTTATCACAAAAGGGCAATACTGAATGTAGAAATGTTTTATGTAGTTTGCAGAGTTGGAGGACACATTATCAACATGTCCTTTGGAATGTGAATAAGCTAAGAAGTGTTCAGGAATATCATGAATCCATTATATTTCCACTCAGGCAAGCATTCGCTATAAGGACACTCCCAAGATATCTCTGAAGAATTTTAGTGTTGACTGTGAGACATGGGAAACACTGGCACGGGATCACCCAATATGGTGTGCCTACGTGAAAGAAGGTGATGTACTCCATGAGGAAAGCAGAATTGTAGAAGCACAGAGGAAACTTGAGTCGTGCAAATCCACCCTAAATGTTTTAATGGACTGCTGTGGTAGTGCCTTCTGAACTTATATTGGACTGAGCATCCACAGCTGAACACACTGTACCCTGACTCCAACATTGTGATGTCATTGGTCTTCTTTGAAAATGAAGAATATACAAGAATATTCAGGTACTAAAGGCTCTGAATGCAAATCATCTCCCAGGAATCTAAGAATATGAATCCTTATGAAATTATTCTGATGGTTGTCTTTGACACTCAGATTGCAATTGGAGTTCTAGGGAACTCTTTCCTAATTTATCTCTTCAGCATCATGATCCTCACTGGACAAAGAATGAGGGTCATAGATGAGATTCTCATCCAACTGGCCTGGGCCAACTTTTTAATGATTGTCTCCAAGAGCATCCCCCACACAATGGCAGCTGTGAACCTAAAGAATTTAGTGAATGATCATGGCTGTCAAATTTTATTTTATCTTAATGGAGTGTCTCGTGGTCTTTCCTTAAGCATGACCTGCCTCCTGAGTAGTTTTCAGGCCATCACCATCAGTCCTAGCAGCTCCAAGTGGGCAGAGCTTAAAGACAGAGCCCTAAAGTACCCCACCCCCACCTCTTTCCTCTGCTGGATCTTCCATTTACTACTAAATATCCTTGTTCTTGAAAAAGTTGAAGGACCAAGGGTCTCTGGAAATGTCTCAAACATCCTACCTTATGGATATTGTTCTACTTCAGCAGCCACCACAGTTAGTGCTTCACTATTTGTTGTTGTGGTCTCCTTCCCTGATGTTGTGTGTGTGAGTCTGATGGTCTTTGCCAGTGGCTACATGGTATTGCTTCTGTATAGGCACCACAGGCAAGTCCAGTATATCCACATGACCAAACTTTCCCCTAGAGTCTCCCCTGAAACCAGAGCCACCCGGTCTATCCTGCTCCTGGTTAGCACCTTTGTGTTTTTTTACTCATTCATTCCATCTTGGCAGCATATATACATTTGAGAAAGCCAAAAATCTGATTGGCGTACAGCTCTACCTTCCTGGCTGCCTGCTTCCCAACTTTTAGTCCATTTGTGCTTATCAGCACTGACTCCCAAGTTCTAAGGTACTGCTCTGCTCTCTGGAAAGGAATAACCTCTAGTGCCTAGTAGAGAGCCTGGCTCACATAACCAATTAATAAACTCCCATGGTTGAGTGACTGATCTTCAACCCCAGTTTTATAAGGCTCCTATTACAGTATTTCCTCTGGATTAATCTGTCACTGCTTCCCTTTGAGAATATCATCCCAAAAGTTCATTTCCCAGAGTGAAGGATAAGTGGAGGTCTATAGAGGTCTTTGCAAATGGCATTTATGACTGAACTCAAGAGTAGGGTTCTCAGATTTACTGTTCTGCATGACAATGTCAATATCATAGAACTTGAGGGTTGTTGGGACCTAAGAAGGAGTCTAGTCCTATATAGTTCGGAGAAATTCTTTCCATAATGTACCTGAAAAAAGTCAGCCAACCTCTGCTTGAAGGCTTCCAGGGCTGGGGATTCTACTTCTTCCTCCAGTGATGCATTCTACTTTGGGACAGATATGGATGTGGTGAACACACTTGGCTTTCTTTTGTCTTTACTTGCTCCCAACTCAGATCTCTCTTGCTTCTCACTGTAACATGTGCCTAGCTCTCCTGATTTTGCTTTCTAGGGCTAAAGAAAAGCTTAATCTCTTTCCATATGAAAACTCTCTTCAAGAATTTTAGAACTTGCTTGTTTCCCTAAGCCTTCTGTTGCCCAGAATAAACTTCCTGCATTCCTGCAGTTGATTCTAAAGTCGAACTGAGTCCAGTTCCCATTTTCTCTTGGTGAATTGGCTTAGTACTTTAACCCAAATTTTTTATATTCATATTTTATATTTATAATTATCCCTAATCCTGGAGTGAAAACTGAGTTCAAATGTTGGCTTAGACACTTACTAACTGTCTGAACTTGGACAAGTAACTTAAACACTGTCTGCCTCAGTTTCCTTTTCTGTAAAATGTGGATAATAATAGCACCCATTCACAGTGTTTTTGTAAAGGGAAAAATGAGGTAATATTTGTAAAACATTCTGAAAATCCTAAAATAATATATATGTGCTAGATATTATCATCATTATCTGGTTTGGTTCAACATCTGAGGTATTATGGAGATAAATCAACAGTTTATTCTTCTCTTTCAATGTATCAAAGCAGCTGGTTGGTGGCATCCCGTACCTGTGCTCCTATGTGGGTGGTGCCAGATTCTCTCACTTGGTTGGAAATAGGTTGGTGTCTTTACCAGTCAAATAACTCAGATCATTTGCTTACAATTTCTTACTACTCCTATTCATTCTTATAAATTGGGGCTCATTGAATCTCTACATATATCATTATTTTAGAAAAGCATTTAATCCTTATTATTATTTGCATAAGGATGTTAGTTTCAAACCATATAGAATTTCAATGTTATATAAATTAGTTTCAAATGATATGAATAATAAAATGACAATTTTTCAGTTAGTCAATAAACATTTATTAAGTACCTACTATGTGTCAGGCACTATGCTAAGTGCTGAGGATACAAAAAAGGGTAAAAGACAGTACCTACCCTCAAGGAGCTCATAATCTAACAATATGATTCAATCACCACTTCAAATCCTTAATCAGGAAAAAAAAATCACTATTTGGGTTGGTAGCCATGTCCTCACCTCAAAACAACCACCTGTTCCCAGGCCTGGGTCAATGGTCAGAAAGAATAATTCTTTGTTACATCTAGAAGAAGCAATACAAGGACACTCTCAAGATCTCTCTTAAGAACTTTGGAACTGATTGTGTGACGTGGGAGACACTGGTGCAGGACCACCTAGCATGGTGTGCTCTCACCAGAGAAGGTGCCATGCTCTATGAGCAGAGCAGAATTGAAGTAGCTCAAAAGAAATGTGAGATGCACAGATTTAGATAATCCAGCCCAAATGTTCACATGGACCATTTGTACCTGACCTATGATAGAGCATCCTGAGCCCATACTGGTCTGCTCAGCCACAGTTGGACGCACCGTAACTTGACTCTAACTTAGTGATGTCATTTTGGCCTTCTTTGAGAAGGAAGGACAACAGCCAATCCAGTAAATGAGAAGGTAGATGTATGCCATTAGCTCAAAGCTGGTTTGAAGAGCATTGTACAAGTTTGGACTCTTCCCTTGGTTATAACTGCACAGACAAATAGGACAATAGGATACTTATTCCAATGGTTCAAGCCTTACTCCTTGCCAAGGAATGCATTTTCAGGATGGGAGGTTGGAGCTGTTATTGCATCCCCAAACACTGAAATGAGATAGTTCAACATACTGATGGAAATGGGGAGATTTGAGTTAATACCTACAGACCAACAAAACAAGCTAGGACTATTTTGGGTAAAGAAGTTTTGGAAAAGATCTGGGATAGTTTCCATTGTATTTGACCTTAAGGCCATAGATCTGGGATGGAATTGTGGGTTCTGTTGGATATCAAGTCAGCTTTCAGGCTCTGACAAAACCCTTGAGGCCTCAAAGCACTTCCTTGCTCATTGTTTTTAACATGCTTTTACTTGCTTTGATCTTCATGAACCAATTTTTAACTATCTTGGGAACTGCTTTTACTTGGGGTCCATGAATATTTTGTATTAAATAGATGATTTATTTGAACTCTGAGTCTATGAGTGATCCTTTGCAAGAGACATTGAACCTAGTGATTGAGAGATCTGGAGCCTGTCAAGTCTTTCCAGGAGGCTGAGCAGCAAGCTGCATGGGTGACCTGTGAGAAAGCCTTGAGAAACTGAGCAAAAACAATTTTTTAATTCAGATTCTTGGGTGATAGTACAGGGTTTGGCTGAGGGGTTGGGCTGTAGAGAAAACCCAATTAGATATCTAAAGCCTTTCCACCTTTGAGGTCAGGAGCACTCATATTTTTTCTGGTGTTTTTAATAGTGCTTTGTGGGGCAGCTTAATACATATTGGACATCAGACTCACTCTGCTAAGATAAATAACCAGGTTAATGCCCTCACAAGACCTCCAGGGAGTTGAGATTAGATTCATTATCAATCTGGACATGGAGGTCATTATGTCATGTTGTGGTCGGTATAGGACCATGTGATCCCCTTAACCAAAGTTGATGCAGCCATTTCTGACCAATGAGGCTCTCATTCATGTCAGAAGGCTCACCTTTGAAGCATCAGATGGTATGTCCGCAACTGTTCTTGACCTTACTCTGATTGGCAAATTGATCATACTGGCAAAGATAATGGAGTGGTTTGCCATATCCTTCTCCAGCTCATTTTAAAGATGAGGAACTGAGGCAAACAGGGTTAAGGGACTCACCCAGAGTCACATGGCTAGTAAGTGTCTGAGGCCAGATTCGAACTTAGAAAGATGAGTTTTCCTGGCCTTGGGCCCAGTGCTCTATCCGTTGAACCACATAGCTACCCATGATCAGTAATCAATAGTCAATCATTTCTATTTGGCAAGCAATAATTCATATAGTCAAACCAATCATACATAATAAATAGATGGTATTTTATTCTCAATAATCAGTAATAACAACAGCAACCAATAATTCAAAATAAATAGCCAAGAGTACCTACCACCTTTGGCCATATTGGTTTTTTCTTCACACATATGAGCAAGGAAGTGATGTTGGATGACAGAAAAGTAAACAGTCTTTTAAAGTAGAAATCCTTTTAAAAATAATTAACAACTTGCAGTGATTTGCAGAAGAGGAGGAAGCAAAGTTGGAGGGGTAGGGTTGGAATACAGGACAACATTCTGCAGGGGGCAAGAAGGATGCTGTTAAATTGGCGTGTATAGCATCTTGAGCAAATGAAACCTGAGGTGGTTGGCTGATGAACAAAGACAGATCTTCCTGCACATAATTTTCCCTGTGCCTCGATGTAGCTTTGGATGCTCTACTGGACCTGCTGAGATATGCCCTTTGCCCTCTGTCTCTATCCCCTCTCCGGCCTCACTCTCTGCTTCACAGCTACCTGCTCAAATGGCTGGTAGGCCCTAGGAGTTTTCTTCCTCTCTCTAAACACTATTGTATTCCTGTCTTTTATATGTATTTCTGTCTTTTACTAAGGAGTAGTCTTCAGAGCCAGATGAGATAAATTTTGTGGCATTATGTGGGAGGAAGACAGGCTCTAAAGGAGCAGAGAGGACACGAGATGCCAGGACACTTGCTTTGGCCTCTAAGGTCTGTATGAAGTCCCAGAAGAGGGGCTTCACAAAATGCTAAATTAAACAACCCCTGGCCCCAACCTTGTCCTTGGGGCTTCAAGGGTTGGAGCCAAAGCCTCAGCCCCCCATGAATTCTCTTACCTGAATTGTAGAACAGCTCTGGCAAAGCTGGCACATCTTATCAGAAAGCCTATGAGGAAAGGAGTCAAGTTTGTAAGGACTCAGAAGGAATGTTTGGAAAGCAATCAAAATGGGAAGGCAGCTACTGTGGCCACAAATGGAGAGGATATAGTTCTGATTGCTCAAATGCCAAACCACACTGATGTAGCTTCCTCTAAAAGATTTTCAACTTTTCTAGAAGAATGCTAGCATGGATCAAGCCCCAAAGACATTTGGTGGCCAGAGTACAATACCCCCACTCCCACCCCCAGCTGCTGCTGGTTCCTTCTCCTCTTTGATTTGCTTCCAACTACTCTATACACCCTGTATGTTCCTAGATTTTTTCACCATTGTCATCTCCCTCAATGAGAGGTCAACTCTTGGAGGCAAGGGATTATTTTGTTCTTTCTTGAAGCAGGGCTGTGGATTCATTGAGTGACTAAATCAAGTTCACCCATCCCAATGAAAGTCATGAGAAGATTCTAAGATGTATTATACATTATTCAGTTGATAACACCAATGGATTGTTGACTCAGTTTCACCAAAGTCTGGACATTTCATTGAGGTGGAAGCAGGGGTAGTGAGCTTCCTGAAGAAAGGAGAGAGTATTATAGCTGGACCTCTGAGAAGAAATTCACAAAGGGTGGAGAAGTTCTTTTTCTTTTCTTTTTTAAAATTTATTTATTTTTAGTTTTCAACATTTACTTCCACAAGATTTTGAGTTCCAAATTTTCTCCCCATCTCACCCCTCCCTCCAACCCAAGATGGCATGCATTCTGAATACCCCTTCCCTTAATCTGCCCTCCCTTCTATTTCTCCCCCCTTCTCTTATCCCCTTCCCTTCTATTTTCCTATAGGGCAGGATAGATTTCTAGACCCCATTTCCTGTATTTCTTATTCCCAGTTGCATGTGAAAACATTCTTTTTTAACATGTGTTTTTAAAAGCTTTGTTCCAAATTTTCTCCTTCCTCCCTCCCCACCCACCCTCATTGAAAAGGCAAGCAACTCAATACAGGTTATACATGTATAGTTATGCAAAACACTTCCATAGTAGTCATGTTGTGAAAAACTAAGTATATTTCCCTTAATCCTATCCTGCCCCCCATTTATTCTATTCTCTCTTTTGACCCTGTCCCTCCTCAGAAGTGTTTGCTTCTGATTACCTCCTCCTCCAATCTGCCCTCCCCTCTACCATCCTCTTGCTCTCTTGTCCCCTTCTCCCCTATTTTCTGTAGGGTAAGATAGATTTCCATACCTAACTGAGGGTGTATGTTATTCCCTCCTTAAGCCAAATCCTATGAGAATAAGATTCACTCATTCCCTCTCACCTTTCCCCATTTTCCCTCCACTGTAAAAGCCATTTCTTGTCAGTTTTATGTGAGATAATTTACCCCATTCTACCTCTCCCTTTCCCCTTCTCCCAGTATAATCCTCTCTCACCCCTTAATTTTATTCTCCAGATATCACCCCTTCATCTTCAACTCACCCTGTGCCATCTATCTATCTATCTATCTATCTATCTATCTATCTATC